GATTAAGAATAAAAGTATCTGCATTTTTATTCTTAATCACAAACAGACCTTATCACTCTGTGGAATAAGATTGAACGCCTCTCTTCCAGTAAATTGGGCCTCCGGTTTTCTACACTCACCATACAAAACACAGCATCAAGCTGCTATTTCACGCTGGTATTCAATACAATACAATACCCTTTATTAAACACTAAGAAAACAAATGACTTAACAAGAAACAAACAAAGAGAAAAACAAAAGGCGGTCTTATTGCTATGCAGCAATTTTATCCAGACAACCTAAATAGGATATAAAAATAAGTGAAAAGTTAATTAATGGGTAGAGTGCACTTTAAATAATATTATAATATACAAATATAAAATTAAATTAATAAACATGCCGGAATTTACTTAGGTTGACAGACTAGTGATCATAAAACGACAGGAAGAGATGAAAGGAGGAGGGAGAATTGAATTCTTTAACTTGGTTTTTAAAGGAGTCTATTATTGTTTGAGCATGTTTTATAGTTGATGGTAAGGAATTCCAAAGCTTCACTCCAAGAACTGGAAAAGATTCACTGTAAAATTTAGAAGAGTACAAGGGACATAGAAAGGAAAGGTTTTTTAAGGACCGAAGGGAAAGTTTATAAGAGGATCTGAGAAATTGCAAACGTTCTTTATGGTAGGGAGGACTTGATATATTAAATAAAACGCAGTAGAGAGCAGAGAGGATATGAGTATTCCCACGAAGACGAATTGGAAGCCACTTGAGCTTACCGCGATATTCTGATACATGGTTATATTTACGAAGTCCAAATATGAACCTTATACATAGATTTTGGAGTCGCTCAAATTTCTTGAGTTGCTCTTCGGTAATGTCTAGATAGCTTATGTCAGCATAATCGAGGATGGGGAGCAGTAGAGATTGGGTAAGAATAATTTTAGTGGGGATGGATAAGAAGTAGTTCATTCTTTGGAGTGAACCATAAGGTGCAAACATTTTACGAGACTGCGTTGATTTTAGGAGATCAAGAAAGCCTAGAATCTATCAAAATTCCCAAGTTTTTTTACTACGTCCTTATAAGAAATTTGAACATTATTAAATGTTATGGGGTTTAAGTGAGTTTTATTTAATTTGGAGATTATTTTTCAACTACCAATAGATATAGCTTGGGGTTTTATCGGAGTAACAGTTAACCCATAAGATCAACTCTAGTCAAAAATACACGCTAGGTCTTTAGGTTAATATTAGGAGTGAACTTAATGCACGAAAAGGGAAATTCAAAAGACTGTACTGTAATAGGCAAAAATCACAGTACCATAATGGTTGAGCGGTGGCTCATTGATAGGGCATTACATTTTTAAGCTATTGCATAGCTTCTATGGCGGGCCTTGAGCGTGGGGACCGAATCCAGAAATTTATTCCGCCGTAACGAAAAAACCTCACGCTCCCCACTCCGACGGGCACGGAGGTGTGGCTTGAAGGCCGTGCATTGTCTAACGTCGTTTCTTTTTTCGGCAGTCTTCGACACGGTTTTTGTGTATAAAATGTTTTGGATATGAATGAACAAAGTGCATTTATTATTAATGAAGAAAGTCACGAAATAATAGTGAAAGAAAATGAGTGAGTACTCTATATACATACATTTTATTATTATCACGAATGCAGTACTAATTTTGAATCGAAAATATAATATTACTATAAAGATAACCTAAATTTTTGATATTAAAATGAGCGATATTAAAAGTAGCCCTCTTTATATACACACAAACACACACACGCGTTTAGTTTAAATTCTCAATTTAGATTCTCAATATATATATATATATATATATATATATATATATATATATATATATATATATATATATATATATATATATATATATATATAGAGATGGGCCGAAATTCGGTACAAGAAAAATAATACCTACTTGCACTTATTTTAACTGAAATATAAGATGCTTCTAAACTACAATATGCCATGGCTGGAACTGGTGGTTCTACTCATGATACTGTACCACTTTCCCCAAGGAACCCATAGTCAATTCTCAAAAAAAATTGCACTTTGTATGGAAATCGGTCAGCTGATTGGCCAAGTCTCCATACAAACAACCGTGGCATATATTTTAGAAGCACCTTATATAACAACATTAGATACTGTAAAATAAAAGATATTATTTTTACTCATTCATGGTCAATTATTTATTTATTTATTTCGGAACATTGTAAATGTAAACCTTATATTAAATCAGTTCCTATCTTATCATTAATCTTAGTTCTTAACCTTAATCTTAGTTAATTAGTTATTAATCTTAGAAATCCCTGCCTAATTAGTAATTAGCCATATTACAAAAATGAAATAAACTTTGTATTCTCCTAGTCAACATCTGGATAGGAGTCCGTAAATTAAATAAAAAAATAATGTTTTTGATTCAACATTCATTAACCTCAAGTATTTTAATCCGAACTTCGGCCGATAATTTTAATTACAATTATCGGCCGAAGTTCGGATTCGGTTCAAATCACATTGGGCCCATCTCTAATATATATATATATATATATATATATATATATATATATATATATATATATATATATATATATATATATATATATATATATATATATATATATTATCACAATATTGATTCTACGTCCTTTCATTTCGCATTATTGTAGCGTCCACCACTTGTAAGCAATTTTAATACGTTATAACTGCGAATATTTGTCCATTAAACAATTTCAAAGATAGTGTTTAACTCATTTCTTTGAGAATTTACCATATATCGATATACAAATATTCGTATATTGCCAGACGGAGGGAAACCAATCAGGACTCCCTTCCATATTACAAATTATCCAGAATCCCCGTAATATACATAGTTTTTAATTCATTCTCCTGCTTAAGGTGACACTAGTCGACATTATTTCCATAGAAATTTCGGAGGGGTTTTACTCCGCTGTTTGACAGTGTACATCAACAGCACATACAAGTGACAGTTAAACATGATATCGTTTTGTCTCATTATTAATTTTGTCTGTACGGAAACAGAATAGTAAAATAAAAAGTCATTAAAAAGTTACGAGCTATCAAAGATTCGTTTTTATTGCCAATTTTAACACAACTTTGGGCGTAAATTAGTAATAAAAGCATTGTATTTCCAAGACAAAGTCGGTACCGACACAGCTCAATTATCGAAGAATTCAATAAATTTTATTTGTAATTGATTTATGCAGTGGTTTTTTCATAAAACCCCTTCTTCCAAAGGCCTTTTCGTATTTTTTTTACGCGCGCTTGTTTATACGAATTATCGTGCATCTCACTGAATAATGTTTCCCCCCGGTGCGGTGCGGGAGGACGACACTTACACACACATGCATGCGCGGTGACGCGCGCTTATTCTAGTTTTATTCGACTCAGTCAGCTGCGGCCTGTGACGTTCGTATGACTATAGCTATACCTGCGCTCTAAATTACTACGCTACATTGACCCCTGCTTGAACTTTGGATTTCGATACTACTCTGTTTGGCATAGAAATTGATATTATTGAAAGAGATGATGCGTTTTGGACGGCAGACAAAATTTTAAAATTAGATAGCTTTTATCAGAAATGTGTTTTGCCGGAGCTGATAGATCCCCGTTACCCTCACAAACTACAATTTAGAGATCGAATGTAAATCAAATTGATATAAGCACAGACAAAAATAGCGGAATATAAATAAAATTTTGAAAAAAAAAAACGATCTCAAAATTTTATTAATGTTCCGCTAATTTTATCTGTACTTACCTATGTCAATTTGATTTACATTCGATTATAATTATGTTCTCAGACGTGCAGGTTTCCTCAATATGTTTTCCTTCACCGCCGAGCACGTGGTAAATCAGCACAATTGCAATTAACAATTTCATTGGTGCCGGCGGGGATCGAACTCGGGTCTGCATGTCTGAGAAATTAAAAAAATATATATTTCGAAGACATGTGAAGTTCGTCAACACGTATTGAGGCAGCGTGGCGGACATTTCCTTGCCTTAAAACGCTATCAGAAATTAGAGGAGGCCTGTGCCCAGCAGTGGGACGTATATAGGCTGTAACTTTACTTTGTTTTTACTTTTATAAATATATTATTTTACCGACGAAAATTTTAAAGAAAAATAAAAAATAAGCAACCGACAACCTCCTAGGTCCCTAGGTGACTTGCGAGATGTCAGTGTAAGAAAACAAAACGGCCCAGAAAAACAGACTTTCCAATTGATAGCTAAATCAGCACGCAACAATTTCATTGGTGCTAGTGGGGATCGAACCCGGGTTGCTCCCGTACTGTGATACTTATAACGAGCGCTGACCATGTGAGCAACCACGGCTCTCAACGACATCCTTCCGTTCGTGTACAGCGCTGAAGATAGCAGAGTAAAAAATTAGAGATTGTGGTGTTTGAAATTTGTCATCTATGAGAGTGAATTTTATATGTGTAGTCTGTAACAAATAACTATATAGAAAAAAAATGTGAAAATGACATTTCGCCATTTTTTGTTTGTGTACTTGTTAGGAACTCGATCAAAAATTTTATAATTTTTCTGTTTTTATAAGTTATTTCTAAAAAAATGTGAAAATGACTATTCGCCATTTTTGTTTGTGTACTGGTTAGGAACTCGATCAAAAATTTGATAATTTCTCCGTTTTTATACGTTATTTCTAATGTTATTTTACATCAAATTGTGAAGATTTTTTTTTTTTAAATTGTTTTTTTTTTTGTATAAGGAGGACGCTACTGGCCATCTCCCATTTGTTTCCATTCCACAAATCGCACATATTTGAAAAATAATGTTATTAATAAAATGCGGGTATTTTGAGATAATTATACAAGAATATTACGTATTTATTATAAAAAGAACAAAAAGGATAAGGAAGAGAAAGAAGAAAGAGAGAAGAAAACAAAATTTAATTTTTTTAAATGAAATTTTAGCTTTGCAGTAAGTATAATGATCATTGTTATATCAATAAGTATAAAGAAATAGTTTAAATACGTGGAGGTTTCACTTTTGAAACAACTGGACTCAGATTTAAATAATACCGAAACGCCCTGTCGTTGCGTCCGAAACAGAACCCAAGGATGACGTGACTATTGCTTCGAATGATGTCCCTGAACCTATATATGCTCATTTCTGCTATGTCGACTATGGTAATCCTTGGTCTTAGTGGCTGGAACTCATCACCCAACCTACCCATGAATCGTTCGACGTCTTCCACCCAAAAATCAGGATCATAATGCCATGGCGCTCTGATGATCCTCGGTATGGTTGACGGGTTTATCATATCTGTTACCTTGACCCAATTATTCCCGATTTCGTTTCCATGACCACCGCTCAGTATGATAATATCGCGATTGTCTCCACGCAGTTGCATAATTTCTCTTAGGGGTGTGACAATGTGCGCACCATTTATTTGAGTGTCTGACCCAAATTTAAGGGCATTGTTATAATGAACTACAAACCATTTAGGATTTATTCTTTTTCTTCTCAGTCTCTCGACGACAGGATCAACAATGCCATCAAATACAGCATCTTCATACTTGTTATGACTTTGAGTTGTATCTCTTTTCAACAAACGAGAAGCGTTCACGTTGTCCGTTAGAATACCTGGTGTTCTTCCTTTCTTATTAATCTGGATATCTAAAGCGCAAAAATAAGCAATTTATAGTTATATTCATATATTTTTTACCCTACACCGATTTCGAAATGGAGACAGAAATAGAAAATAACACATCACATATTATGTACAACAGGGGCACACATTTCTTGCAGACAAAGGGGCAAAGGGCCTAATTAATGAGTATATTATCTTAAATTAAAAGGTGGGTGTATATGAAAGAAAAACAAATTATAAGTATATAGATCAATATGTACAAATGAATGTGGTTAAATATCAATACGAAAAAACGAGGAATTTATAATATATTAGCATTCCAATAAATATGTTCCAACAAGATTTTTGATAGTGAAAAGAATTTTGACACGACGTGACGGATATAAAGAGGTATAGATTGCCTTAAGAAGGTGTAACGGTGTACACTAGAGCTAGTGGAGAAAAATTGACAGAGGATCGGAGAACCGATCATATAAATTGAAAATGTTATGAAAACACTAATTTAAGTAATAATCACAAGTGGAGGGATTAGACAGCACGTTGTACAATGGAATCCGTTCCTTCGCAGAAATATTCACAAAAAAGAGAAAGTGTATTTCGAGAGGCGAATGAACGGGATCCACTTGAGCTTTATCCGAAATTTGGAAAAGAGATTATATATGCTTAGTTCTAATATAAATCTAATATAATTTTATAAAGTGTTAAAGCTTGTTAAGCAATAGGATAGGCTAATTATGGATAGGCATAGTTGGATCAAGATTGCAAAACTCAGCGTAGTCAGGGATAGGCAAAAGTAGAGACCGAGCAAGTAAAGAACAAATTTACTAATCTACATAATTAGGTTAAAACTGCAAACATTTTTCTTTTTCTAATAACCTCATTGACTTGCATGGTCTGAGATATTTTTGCTATAAGGAACGTGTGTGCAGTTAATTATAATAGGGGGCGGGCAAGACCATAAAATTTTCCCATAGTTTAAGAAAAATATAAATTTTTTATTCAATAATATTATTTGTTGAGGTTACAAAATTGGCACACATATATAGTTATATAGTTTTACCTCCCCTTTTGCGAATTCTATGTTAGAACCTAATTACTTTCAAAATACGTTATATATTGAAGAAATGTTTCGACTTTCTATACGTTCCCTCCTATTACATTCCACCATGTTTACATAGATTTTTCTCTATGATATTCGTTATTAAAAAAATAAAACATTTAAAACGTTTGAACAAAGTTAGATCAATGATTTTAAATTGATTTTTAAAAAGAAAGAAAACAATGTTTGAAATCGCGACGTTAACGCAAAATCGAAAAAAAAAATCTTCTTAAATTAAAGTTTTAATGTCAAACCAATTATAAATTGAATATTGAATCGCTACTTAATACTCCTTTAAATTATATCTTAATTTTATGACATAACAAAAACAGCTTACCGAATTCAGTGGAAGTTACTGCGGTTACAAAAAACAAAACCAGAATGATTTTTAGTCATTTTAGTCTCATGTAAACACAACTATATCGCACAAAGCAATAGTTCATCATCTATAACTGCTCGATATTTATATTCATCAGCAAATAGATAGGAGCAACATGTGTTTATTATTATGGGAACTTTTTCGGTCACCGCAATATATTTAGCAGCATATCGGGGTTTTTACATGTTGTATGAGGTCATCAGAATATATTTCGGGGTTATCTTTGGATTCATATTCATTTTCTTACAATATTATGCTTTGTGTACCTCGGAAATAGTGTGAAATAGTTTCGATAATGTTTTAGACCAGGTAGTCTATTTGTGAATCTAAAACATTATCGAACCAACTTAACACATACAATATTTATTAAAATCGGTCCAGTTATATAAGAGGAATTCAGTCATATACAAAAACAGACAAATTAATTTTATATATAAAGATATATTTTATTTCATATAGTGTGTATTTTTAGTTTCTTTTCTTTCCTTTTTTTCAATTGCTACATCTACATCAAATTCTTATCACTCCGTGGGTTGAGTGGTAAAGAATGCCTCTAGGCATTAAGTCCGGCCCTTGTATCCTCTTTGTTCTAAGGGAATACAATTAAGATTTTAAAACAAAAATACATAATGTTATCGTAAATCTATTATTCTGTAATGCAATAAAGAACTTCTAACCAATTTCAAAAAGGGATGTTATGATGTAGACTAATTTTTGTACCTAATATCATACAGCACGATATTTTCAGAGATCTTTTATTGATGTACATAGCCTCGTTGACCGAGTAATCGTCAGCGCGACTTCTGATGTGATCTATGAGCTCCAATCCGGCGTTTCAGCTCCAAGTCGAGATAAAGTCAGTTATTAAGTTTTAAACAAGAAATTCTCTGTAGCGACCCGGAATAAAGAATTTGGCGGTATGTATTGATAACTTAACATTTTACTGTACCTCGGAGCACATGGTGAATAGTATTAACTTTTTCCTTGTGCTATTGGTTTATTTATCTGCCTCCACGATACAGGTGAAAATCCTAGTGTAATGGTAACATTTACTTTTTTAAAATAAATAATTTTGTTAAAATATCTATAGAAAAATTACAGAATTGCTAGGCACGACTATGTATAATGAGTCACTGGACTTCCTCTAAATCGACTTGGACAATCCAAACATATTTTTTGATAACCGCACACAGTTGGTAAACCCCAATTATATAGCTTTACCAGCTGTTTCACGCGGCTTCATCGGCGTGGTATTTATTACCATTGAATTTCATCGATGTTTGTTTTTTGCGCGCAACTCTACTACTAATTCTTTTTCTCAGTTGCCTAAATTACTCCTTATGATATCAGCTATCTGCCAGTAAAAGTTCCGTCAAAAGCGGTCCAGCTATTTCGAAGATTGGCCGCAACAAACAGACAGACAGATAGATAAACAGACATATAGACAGACAAAACTTTTTAAAATTGTTTTTATTTTTTTTTGTTATAAGTGCCGAATATACTCTTTCAAATCCATTTAGTTCAGTAAAGAGCTGTTAGTTTTACATTACAAACAGACACTTCATTTATTTGTATAGATATGTCGCTATCGCTTAACGGTTCCTAGGAAAGATCCATTTTAAATGAATTGGTATTCTTTATTTGTTGGTAATAAATATATAACAATAATATATAATGTACTATTGCTTTGTGAAATCCACCAGTGTTTCGTGAAACTAAAATGACCTTAAAAATCATCTTGATGTTATTTATTGCCACCGCTTTAACTTCGGCTGCGCGTGCGTGTATGTAGGTTCGATGAACGCTCGTGTGCGCGTACGTGTGTGAATGTACTTCTCAAACTAAATATTATTATTTTTAGGATTCCGTAGTTACATAACAAGGAACCCTTATAGTTTCGCCATGTCCGTCCGCCCACCCGCGGTTTTACTCAAGACTCTAATAAAGGTAAATGAATAATATTTTTTTTTACCGCCTATTCCATCGTGTGGGATACCATTGGATAGGTTTTTATTTAATTTATTTATATACACACAACAAGATACAGAAACGGTCTTATAGTAAGTTCGTACAAAAGTTCTACTTATTCCTCAGTTATCTAAAATATCTTTCAGTGGATCCATAAATGAAAATATATTAAAATGGCAAAATTAGTGCATACATTACTACTACAAATTAATAAATTATAAACAATATATTAGGTAAATTATATAAATATAAACTAACACTAATATAATTAAATAATAAATATTAATTAACAGGATGCAAAGAAGTTATTTCTCACACGTTTCTTAAATACCAATAAAGTTTCGGAATTTCATATATTAGACGGTAGTGAGTTCTATAACTTTACCGCGTGACCAGAAAAAGAGTAGAGCTAACAACGAGAATTATAGACGGGAAAGTAAAGAAGAGTTAAACAAGGGATCTGCATGGTTTATCCGGATTCGGATATTCTTCCATACTCCCAATGTTTTTCAAAAACATTAGGCAAATCAAAGAACATCTTATCGATTCAGAGGTTCATTTGCGAAATATTAAGCTTTAAAGTCGTATTTTTCTTTAAAGTCATGTTTCCTCCCCAACTAAATCACTTCTTATGAAATGTGAAAAGTATACTCAACAGTAGCGTATATAATGAAGTTAAAAGGAAAAATATCACGGCAGTGGTAAACGAGTATTAGTCGACCAACTTATAAAATGCACTTGGATTAGTAAAAATTTCATTACAACGTCATAGAAATCACAACTCTCATCACAACCTCATAGGTAAAACTGTGAACATACTTATTATGCTCATTATCAAGGAAACCCATGTATTGTTACGGGTAACAACGGAACCCTACCTCTATATTGTGCGTTGCCCGCCACCACCGCCACGCAATTGACCATTTTTTTTTGAACTGAAAACTTCTTTAGCGGCGTTCGACACTTTTTCTGTAATGGGTAAAATCGTTAAACTCGCGTCAGGACACGTGAGCCTGATCGAAAATACTTAAGACGGACGGCATAGGAGGGGAAGTATCCCCTCTCTTTCTACTCGCGGCGGCCTGCTGTTTCGTTTAGGCAGCGCACGGCACTTGCGCGAATGTAATATAAATTGTCATGTTTGTGTACGATAGCGCAATAAATAAATATTGTATTCTACCACATAAATGATAGTACTTTTATACTGATAATTAAAGCAATTCGTGCAAAATTATTCCCTAACAATTCCAAAATATCAAAAATGCACAACGTTAATATTCAAGTTTTCACTACTGTCGGCACTCCCGGAGTGCAACCCGTCGTTTTTTTACTAATTATTTCGGTAATTCAGTATGATTTTGTGAGGGCCCGCATTTTGAAAAGAAAAAAACAATTTTATTAAAATTAATACTTAAAAAGAATATGATATTATGATTATAATATTCATCGTCTTGAGATAAAATTATTATTACTTTCTAAATAAAAATCCAAAGTTATTTTATAATAAAATATCCACGTTCAAAAGAAAAGAAGTTAGGTACCTATGTAAATTTGTACAGATTATATATGCGTGATGCCGGCTGTATCGTGAAGTTTTTGTGGGAAAAAATTTGAGAATTTATTTTAAATTTAAACAAAAAAGGAAAACGAGTGGAAATGGTTGTACTTCTATTTGTCGAAAACCATTTTATGTTTTTTGGCATATCCCATAATCGCCTTTTACACCTTGGGTCGAAATGAGTTGATGGAATCTTTTATGCAACCAACACACGGCACAGTGGAACGTGACATTATTATAGAATAATTTTATTTTTTTATTTTACATACATACATACTCTCAAAAACACATTATAATAATTTAGGGGCAGTTGGTGTAAAAATTCTCGCCGTAAATTTCCCGTCAATATATACTCATACGATGCTGTTATTAATGTGAATTATGAATATGGATGCGACAGGTCTCATAATTCTTGGTCCAGTTACATCAGCATCACGTAGTGTTGTGACCCACGACAGTCATATAATATCTGTTTGCTGGTCGATCGTTTATTAACAAACATGTTAACTATGTCATATTTCAATTCTGACGATTTATTACCATATATCTATTAGTTTGATGTATTTAACAGTAACAGAATCGTTGTATTGTTATTTGTGAGTAAATATAGTCTTCAGTTCTCTACACTCACCATACGAAACATTACATCATTGAGCTGCTATTTTAGGATCATATTCTATGACAGCGTGGTCCTTTCCCGGTCAAGAAGACCTAATAATATACCCACAATATAGCTGAAGCGTTGATCTACCACGTAAAGTTTGTTAAAGATTTTATTCACTTTACAGATTTTTCATCTCTCAGATAAAAGTTACTCATAGGATAAAATACAACAGACACATATTAAAACTACAATTGTATGAACTAAATAGTTTAATTGTTTTCACTTTTGTATTCAGTCAGTTTATAATGTATTAGATGGATAGCTTTAGAGTATAGAGAACAGAAGACCCTTTTTACTGAAAACTAGGCATTTTATCTTAGTCCCCAAGTGTAGTAACGTATCTGCTGTTTTGTTCTTAGTCGAGGATAGATGTAGACGTTTATGGGCCACAGCGTCCACTTACCATCAGGTAAAGTGACTCGTTTACCACCTTTATTCTATAAAAAACCGAAACAACTCTTTGTAGGCCATACACATACTTGTCCCGTGCAGGATTCGAAACCGCGGCTCTCAGCGGCGTAAATGCTAAACCACTGCTCCACGTAGCCATCATGATTGTGTTGTTGTTTTTGTAGCCGTAGAAAAATATAACTATTTGGAATAACAAAACAAAGTCATCTCAACGGTTTTGATGCAATCGTTCACGTATGAAACTAGTGTTGACTGAGAGCCACCATTGGCCAGCGATGTAGTCACGGACGATTAAACTAACGTTCAAGTTGTAACGCCGTCTTACTGCTAAGCTTGTTACCGAAACAAAGCCGTCGGACAGTGTTATGTCAAGGAAGCAACATAACGAAAAATTGTTATTTGATAGAGGTTATTGTACCCTGTAGTGGCAATGTAAGAATATCAACTACCGCGTATTGTCTCATGGGTGTCGTAGGAGCGCTAGAGTGAATTGAAACAGAAGATGAGCTGCAGCATATTCTTTATAACCACTTCGTTTGTACGTGGTGGAGCCACGCTACGGGTATGTTATTCTTGTAACACGAGTGGGTCGGCTCGACCGGGATAAAAAGCTCACAAGACTAGACTCACAGAGAATACTATTGTGAAATAGCAGCTTAATGCTGCTGTTCATCGTATGGTTAGTGTAGAGGACCGGAAACCCATTTTACTGGCAACGAGCCATTCCATCTAAGTCCTTCGGGGTGAAAACATACCTGCATTTTGATTTGACTATGTGTCCGCTTGTCATCCATATTCAATAAAAATGTTTTGATAGGTTGGTTCTTCTGGTCGTCCAGCTTATGTTAAAAATAACAATAGTACCGTTAAGTATTACATATGATATTAGTACCTTTTGAGTACCCTTAACCGAACCCGTCTGGGTGACAGGAATGAGAGTTCATGTTACGTTATATTAAAAAAATAAAGAATAAGTACTGAAGTTTGATAATAATTTTGGTTTAACATCGTTGTACAAGTTATGTAAACTTTGCTTCTGACTCTTGCGTAATCATTTGAGTCAAGCGAAGCGTCACTTTTAATCTCAATATTGAGATGAGGTCGATATAAACTGTCTCCATCTCTATCACACTCGCATTAACTACGAAGTCAGTTACTTTCACACCCTACCGATGAAAACATCCTTGTGCGTGACAGATAATCCGCAAATGCTAATGAAAAATACGTATGAACAAGCATTTTCAACAAGTATTCAAATTATTACAATACAAATAACTTGAACATGAATGTTTAATGTTATTACTGTATTTGACTTCCTCATTAGTCACGTGATAAATACTATTGTTGATAATAAAGTCCCGGGTTCGAATTCCGGATTCGGTCAAAATCTGTTATTGAAAATTTCTGACACGACACAACCTGGGGAAGCACTAACATCAACGAAAGAGGTGAGCTACTCTATGATGTTCTCATCCCTAACCGCCAGGTAAGCCTAAACTTAGGGTGTACACCAACCTCTGTTACGAGTGCTAGGCAAGAAGCGTTTGACATAAACTATGCTACTAATAACATATCTTGGCTCATAAATGACTGGCATGTTGTAGTGAAGACTCGATGTCTTCGAGGTATTCGTGAAGCCTTCAAGGACAGTTGTCGCGTCAAAACCAAAACCTCAACACGAAAAGTTACTTGGTGGAATACTAAGCTAAAAGAACTTAGGGAAAAGACCAGAAAACTATTTAATTGGGCTAAATAAACCAAAGAGTGGGATTTTTACAGTGCAGCCCTAATTGAATATAATAAAGAAATTACGAAATCCAAGAGAGCATCGTGAAGGAACGCAAAACTAGGCACAAGAGAAGGCGGTGAGCTGAAGTTAGGGAAATTTGGAGTAGGGCAACAGAACCGTAGGGGCCAGCAGCTGGCTGACTTTATGGAGAAAGAGGGACTCTTTATGATGAACTCTTTCTTCCAGAAGCGGCCCCACAGGAAGTGGACCTGGTCGAGCTCCGACGGTTCGACAAAAAATGAGATTGACTTCATTATGACGACCAGACGCCAACTTTTCAGTGATGTCTCAGTGATCGCAAGGGTGAAAACCGGCAGCGATCACCGAATGATTAGAGGCACACTGAACCTTGACGTTAAGTTGGAGAGGTCTCGTCTAATGAAGTCAATGCTCCGTCCCCCCTCGTGCTCTGATTCAGAATCCCGAGACTTTTCAGCTCGAGTTACGTAACCACTTTCAGTGCCTAGAAGATTGCAATGCAGTGGACGATATGAATGACAAGCTCGTGGAAACTGTCCATAAGGTTGGAGCTAAGTTCTGCAAGACCCGCCGCAGAAGAACACAAAAACTCTCCGATCACACTCTAATCTCATGGCTATTAGGGGTAGACAGCATACAGGCAACTGAACAGACAGATCTCCAAATGCATGCGGCGAGACTTACGCAACTTTAATACTGCTCGTATTAAAGAAGCGATCGAGCGGAACCATGGCTCTAAAATCTTTGCCAGAGATCTGTCTGCCAGAAAGAGCCAACTATCAAAGCTGAAGACTGAGTGTGGCAGCATCGTTTCCGAGACACCTGAGATTTTGAGTGAGATTGAGATGTTCTATGGGCAGCTGTACACATCATCGTTGGAGTCACACGCAAGTGTGAGTAACGATCCATGAGCAAGTCTTACCCGACACTATTCCGATGATATCCCGGACTTCAGTCTGACCGAGATTAGAATGGCTCTCCAGCACCTTAAAAACGGCGCGGCCCCAGGCGAGGATGGAATTACAGCGGAGCTTCTGAAAGTGGTTGGAACACCGGTACTTGAAGTCCTTCAGAAGCTCTCCAATACCGTCCTCCATGGTGGCACTACTCCGGAGGTGTGGAGCAGAAGTGCGGTGGTCTTGTTCTTTAAGAAAGGCGACAACGCTCTCTTGAAGAACTACAGACCGATTTCCCTTCTGAGCCACTTCTACGTGCTGCTTTCGAGAGTCATTACGAATCGTCTCGCACGCAGACTCGACGACTTCCAGCCTCCCAAACAAGCCGGTTTCCGAAAAGGCTTCAGTACCATAGACCACATACATACTCTGCGGCAGATTGTACAGAAGACCGAAGAGTACAATCTGCCACTTTGCCTGGCGTATGTGGACTATGAGAAAGCCTTTGATTTCGTCGAAATTTGGGCGGTGCTACAGTCCCTTCAGCGGTGTCAAGTTGACTGTCGGTATATCGAAGTGCTGAAGTGTTTGTACAGTAGGGCTACGATGGCTATCCGAGTACAGAAC